TACAAAATATTACAATTACAAAAAATATTACAAAATATTACAATTACAAAAAATATTACAAAATGTTACAATTACAAAAAAATAATTATATATTATTTTAAAAATATATTACAAATTTGAAGCATGCAACCTTTGCAAGGTCATTATTTTATTTATTTATGAAAAATTTTCTCTGAGAAACAAAAAATATTTCACCTATTAATAGTAGCAGTATAATTTTAAATAAATCTTGGAATATTTTACCTTCGCAAAACAAAACTGAATATATAAGTAATAGTAATTGTACGTTAAAGTTGCATAATAAGTTAAAAGTTTATATTCATCAAATATAAATTACTATATAAATATTCCACGATCACTGTACATATTATAAATTATTATTTTCTTTGTATTATTATTATGATATACTTAATTCAAGCTGAGTAATGCTTATGTAGCATAATGTATCCAATTGATAATCATAAAGTGGATATAATTTTAATAAATAAATGTAACATTCAATTAGCAAAATGGAGAATTTTATTACGACAGAAGTATAGCAGAAAGTTGCTAAAATTATAGTAATTATAGTAACTCTTTGTATTTTAAAATGATTTTACCATTTTTATTAAAATGTTATTGCAAATTAAACATAAACAGGGTATTTACGGCCCAATAATACAACCGAAAAGGGTTTTTACATAATTTTACATAAAAAAAAGAATAAAAGGAAGGATAAACATTTTATTATTTCATTTTCGAAAAAATAAGAATTGGAAATTTATCACGTATGTTTGATGAATATAACTAATTCCGGTCAGGAGACTAACTCTTAATAACTAATCGACAGAAAGTTATTAAAAAATATAGAACAAAATTTTTTCATGAAACGCTTTATTTTTGAGAAAATTAGATTTAAAAATTACACACGTATAGTTAATTTTATTTCTATAATATGAATTCAAATCATATACTTTGTCAAGTTCATTAATTATAATATTAATTTATAATATAATCAAATAAATTATTTATTATAAATGAAAAAATATAATAATTAAAATATAAAATAGTAAATAAATTATTTAAATTAGTATAAGGATATTCAATTATTTATATTTCTAATTATGTATTAATATAATAAAAATATTAATAAATATTCAATGAAAAAATTGATTAATGGATAAAATTTTAAATTTTTTATTTTATTATTATTTAATAAAGGTAATAAAAATAAAATAAAATATTTTCTTAATGACGAAGTCCTAAGCGAAACAATTTTGATTTATTTTCACACACAGAATATTTCTGTTGATTATTCACTTCTTTGGCACAGTATGTTAAACTTGATTTCTTCGGAAATGAAGCCTTAAATCACATTCTGTATATTTATGAAAAAGCTATTATATATTCCTCTAATCTTTACTTAAATGTACTTAAAATTCTAACAGAATACTGGCACACAGAATAATTCCAAGAATTATAGATTGAACTGTAGAATCATGCACAAGTGACACCAATATGAAATAAAATAGATTGAATGCATGCATTTCCATTCGAATATTGTTCTTTATATCATTCGCATGCTAACAAAGATAACAAAAGAAATTAAAATATATTGCACAAAATTTATTTTTATTTCATCGAAATGATTATTCGTTTTCTAGCCTATTTTAAAAAATTTTTTCAAAAATATTGGATATCCGATATTTAATTTTACGACATAATATTAAATCGTTTCAACTTTCGTATATTTAGATATATAAACATAAAATAAAAATATAAAAATAAATAATGTTAAATATAAAAATATTTATTAATTTTTTTTCTTTCAATATTGAATTTATTGAGAAAGAAACATTTCTATATCTTCATTAGGATTTTAAGAATTTCTTATTATGTGCGATTACCTTATCTTTATTCCAAGTAAAGTTAAAAAAAAATAAATAAATCGTAGAAAAAGACTTCGTGGTAATCTTTATCGCCCTATAACGTGACTTTTGTCGCAAATGCATCAATTGTTTGCAAAATGCTTCTTTCTTTAAATAGAACCGTACTACTTTTATTTGTATATACGCAAATGAAAACCATAATTCAAAGTCATTTAAAACTCAATACTTTAAAAGATATTTCATTTTCTCAAAAATCTAAACACTTAAACATTCATTAAACCATTAAGTATATTTTAAATATTTATTACACGTCTCTCAACATTTTCTATTTTCTGTTTTAATTGATTACATGGTTAGAAGATATTTCTGTTTATACATAAGAATTCGAAAATTACAATGGATGTAAAATATAATAAAGTCGTAATGATTGAAAATGAACATGGTAATTATTTGAATATATTTTGAACTCGTGATCATAATTTCGGAAGCTAACAAAAAACATGTAAAGAATATTTAAAGAGTAACAATGACACATTACTTATTACAGATTTAATTTACTACTTACTAAGAATTACATAATTATATATTATAATTCTTTTATTATCACAACATCTTGATATTTAATATCAGGCCTGTTATAAATTTAATCTTATCATCAATATTCTTCTATTAGAATTCTTGTTATAATAGAAAAAAGTTTCTAATAAGCGATTCTAGTTAGTTTGCAGTAAAAGTCCTTATAAACATTAGAGCACGTATTTATCTTTGCACTCGTGCGAAATACATCGTCTTCTTATCTAATAGTTAAACAATCGATAACAAAGCATTGCAGTTCTCGGTTCGACCTACTTTACTAATATCAACATCGAACGTTTTAAACTTAAACGGAAAGCTTACTCAATACGTGTCTCTCTCTCCTATAATAATAGAACTTACGTAATTCGTTTTTGGTAGATAATTTAAAAAAAATGATTTTTAGTTTACAATTTTAAAATATTTGTATATCGTAATTTTAATCAATCAAACTTGTGAGAAATATGATGTTTTACAATTTATCTTATAAAATTTTAACGTAAATCTTGCAATTTTTGAAGAAGTTTTAAGACAAAATTTTAATATTAACTGGATATATAAAAAATGTGATACATCACGATTTATAAAATTAGAATGCAAATCTTTTTTTCAAATGTATTAAAACAAAAGAAGATATGAAAGAAGATTTTTGTAACAAATTTTTTACAAACAAAATTTCTTTGTAAAACTTTTCTTTTAGAAAAAATACATAAATTTTTAAAAACAATGTTCAACGATTTTATTAAACTCCTTTCAATTGATCAAAATCGATTTATTCAATCGACTAAAATCTTTCGAAAAAGAATATCTGCACGTTTTGTTGGTTACTCCGTAGATGTGTATTTATAGAGATAATAAGAGAAACTAGATATCATAGTCTGCAAAGTCTAGATTTTGTTATCATTAAACATACGATTCCTTTTATTGAATAAATTTAATGATAAACGATAAATCTTAATGTTCTAAAACAATTAACACACATAATAATTAAGTATATTAAATTTGTGTTTCTTTGTTTCATATCATTAAAATCTACATGTATTTAAAATAAATTTTACCGTAAAATTATTCTTTAATTAAATTAGTAACAAAAAATAGTAGAAAATATTGCGAATTCATATATCTTTCTAATTTTAAATTATATAAGTTTGATATCACAGATATAAAATTACCAAAAAAAAATTTAGTTTCTACTTTAAAAGTCATTAAAAATCGGAAAAAATAGAAAAATATCTACATGTAATTAAACTAATAATAAAGAATAGTAGAAAATATTGTGAATTCATATATGTTTCTAATTCTAAATTATATAAGTTTGATATCACAGATATAAAATTGCCAAAAAAAAATTTAGTTTCTACTTTAAAAGTCATTAAAAATCGGAAAAAATAGAAAAATATCTACATGTAATTAAACTAATAATAAAGAATAGTAGAAAATATTGTGAATTCATATATGTTTCTAATTCTAAATTATATAAGTTTGATATCACGGATATAAAATTACCAAAAAGAATTTAGTTTCTACTTTAAATGTCATTAAAAATCGGAGGAAATAGAAAAATATCTACATGTAATTAAACTAATAATAAAAATAGTAGAAAATTATAAATTCATATATGTTTCTAATTTTAAATTATATAAGTTTGATATCACGGATATAAAATTACCAAAAAGAATTTAGTTTCTACTTTAAATGTCATTAAAAATCGGAGGAAATAGAAAAATATCTACATGTAATTAAACTAATAATAAAGAATAGTAGAAAATATTGTGAATTCATATATGTTTCTTTTAAATTATATAAGTTTGATATCACGGATATAAAATTGCCAAAAAAAAATTTAGTTTCTACTTTAAAAGTCATTAGAAATCGGAGAAAATAGAAAAATATATTTGTTAACAAGTATATTATGTAACCAATTAACTGACACCGATTTCTCTCTCAATGAAAATTTCAAAAATCAGAATTTAATATTTCAAAAATGTCATTTAGTCTCTGTTAAATAACCCTTTCAATAATAACTCACTCTTGTCATTTTTCTTCGTCTCTTTCACAAAGATTTTCGCGACTGTTTCATCCACTTCCTCTATAACACTACACAACAGCAACAAAAATTCTTCTCTTTCATATTTCTCTTCTTCTCTTTTTACAATTCTTTCCGGCAATCGAAACAAATTCATTCAAATCCAAAATTCCTGTTCATCATCGCCGGGTCTGCTCGTCGGAACGATTGAAAAAAAATCTTGCGGCGGGCTGGATCGGGGCACAAGACGTATTGTTTACACGCGCGTGTGACGTAATCCTGAGGATCGCGCAGGCCCTAGAGCAAAAAGGGACAAGGAAAAACGGGAGCACTGGATCCCGCGACAGATCCTCTCCGGTGCAGAGAGCGGATCCAGTCGCGTATACACCCACGTGCTCCGATCGACGGAGGTACGGAGAGGAGATTCGGGTTTCCCGCAGGAAGGAGGAGGACGCGAGCCGCCGACGAAGAAGAAGAGGAAGAGAGGAGAGAGAGCAAAGGCGGCTAATGGTAATGGTAGCAAGCCAGTGTCTCTCGAGCCGCCGTCGAAGCTGGTACATATTCACCTCGTCGTGGTCCACGTGTGCCTCTCCGTCGCTTTTTCCTCGCGGGTTTGCGTCTCGCGATATCTCAAAGGGGTCTCGATCGATCGTGGTCCCCTGTTGGAAGCTCGGCTCGTCTCGCCGAAGAGAGGAATCGGTTAGCTCGTCGATCGACCGAGGGACGGGTTCTTCGATCGAGAAGATCTTTCTCATTCTCGGTCAGCGAGCTCTCTCTTTTCGCGATCTCTCCTCGTTGGATCCTCTTCTTCGATTCGTGATCTTTCGGCGCTGTGGCTCCTCCGACTTCTCTCGTCGCTCCTTCGTAAAAATCTATGACCGAAGGTGTCGGACGATCCTCCGAACGTTGATCGTCGCCGATTTTTACGCGTAACCAGAGCGTGTTCTCGCGGTCGCCGTGAAATCGCTGGAAATCGTACGACGACCCGCGGGAGGGGGGGAATGCGCGCAAGAAACGGCCACCGCCTGGAACAAGATTTCGTAGATCCACGCAATCTCCTTTCTTGGCTGCTGTAAAAAGAAAGAAAAAGAAAAAAAAATAATTGCACGATTTACGAATCGTTCACCGCGGACTAATACACGCCCGTCGCTTGTCCCTCCGATCGAATCTTGAGATCGATCGTTACCATTTAAACTACGCGCTGTTTAAACTGTGTTCCAACGAACGACGAACTCGGCGAAGAGTCTGGATAAAAGTGATTACGAAACAGTCTGAAAAATTCGTTTCAGTTCAAGATTCAAACAAACTGTTTGTTGAGGCTCCATTTCGCGGTACCATTATCAGAAACTCTTACATCTTTGCAACGAGTTAATAATTATTTTACTTTAGTGTTTTATTTAACTGAAAGTTATTTCTCGGGAAAATTATATTTAACTAAAGACTCTTGTGCCTAATGTACAGCCAGTGAATGAACATAAATACGTGATAAAATCAGAGCGAGTTACATCGTTTGTACAAGTGTATGAATAGCGATTGTGTCTGTTGAAGAACGTGATGAATCACCGTTCTGAAAATCCAATGTGTTAGTAATATTCGTCTTTGCGAATAAATCGGTAAAGGAACTCAAAGAGTGATGATAAGTTGAAGTTAATAATTGTTAAACTGTTTTAAAAACAAAGCCACTTGTTGAAAAAAGGACAATAACAATCGCGAAGCTATACTTATCTGTCAGATCACTGTCACCAGTGCAATTATAAAACAAGTTTGCCTGTTATCATTGTTAAAGATTCACGTTCGAGCAGTGTTATGCTTTGCAATCGAGCCAATATTCGAGTCCAAACATTGATTGGAAAGATATATATTTAGCTTTGAAATCATCCCCATGAACATGATTAAAAAAACAAACTCGTCCGTGAGAGGAATTAGCATCATCGAAGGCACATGTCTCAACAGTGTTTTTCTTTGTAAGGAATCGATAAATGGACTCGTACAGTGACAGTGAAATTGTATTCGTTTCTTAAATCGTCTTTACAATTTCGAAACTTTTTAGTTTATTAAAAAGTGTCGCGAATAATTATGAATAATGTCAAGTTTCGTAAGATTCACACAGCGATCGCAAAGTTTATAGATCATCTTTACAATTTTGAAATTTATCCAGTAACAAATCAAGTTCAATCACGATCTAATACGAACTAATAAATAACATTCTTTGAATGTTATAACAAATAATTTTATAAGCAAAAAATAATGTTTCTATTTTTCTCCGCAATTATTTGATAAATGAACTTAAATAGTATTTTGGAACGGATAAGTGACCAAGATTAAAAATTACTTAAACCACTGTTATAAGTTCTATTATGGATCTGTTCAAGGACAAACTCTGTCATAAACAAACCAAAATATTAGCTACGAAGTTAAAAATTCAAATTTATTAAATTAGCAAAGGCTAGCGAATATTATTATAAAATTAAAAATTCTATCACGTTCAAAAGCCAGCAAACCCCAGGTTGCAAGAATTAAAAAAAATAAGTTAGCGTTGTCAATTTTCTTTTACATTCAAGAATCGGCAAAGTCTGCTGTAAACACTTCAGGCGCGTCAAACTGCCACGCCACGTGCCATCGAAAAAAAAATCAACATCAGGAGAAGCAAAGCGTAAGCTAATCGAGAAGACCGTACCAGAAGAGAAACGCAACGCCGTTTACCAACGTCGATATTCTCGAGGCCGATCATTTCTCGGAGATGACAACGTGATGATAGAGGCGCGGAGGAACGTGCCGGTGCTTCCTGTGAGCATGGGGTAGAAATGTACCCCGGAAGGTCAGCGTGGAAGGTCCGGGGCGTCCTGGCCCTCGGAGTAGGGGCCTTGTTTCTATTGGGATGGCGGATCGACACGGCCGGCGACGCGTTGTCTGCTTCCACGCCGATCGATTCGGACAGCAACGATTTCAGCGTGGCTGTCGCGTCGTCCCGATCGAACAGTCGGCACAACGGCCACGAGAAAAAAGGAGAACGGCTGAGCGACGGGCCGGGGACCGAGGAGGAAGATCGACAGGCTTTCAGCCGGGATTATTCAGTGGCCGAGGAAGGAACACGGAGCCCGAGCCACGTTTATCGGAATGCCGAACTGGACGGGGCACGCGAGGCCGGTTATTCGGCGGAAATCTCGTCGGATCCACGAACAAACGAACGTCCCGCGAGTTATTCTTCGAGTGGAACGCTGCTTCCGGCAGGAGATCGCGAAAACGACGCGAAGAAATCGAAGAGTTCGGTGGCAAGTTCGATCGAATTGTGGAATTTCGAGGGAAGAAGCGACGATAAAACTGACGAAACTGGATCCAAGAGTCGCGCGACGGGGCTGAAGGAAACTGCAGAAGCTCGAGCGCGTTACTCGATCGATAAATCGCTTTCGTTTGTAGGGAACTTTGAAAATAACAAAGAACGTGTAAGCTACTCGACAGAAGGTTCCTTTCCATTGTGGATTGTCGAGAAAAACGGCGATAGAACCGAGAGTTACACGGCGGAACCGGGGAAAAACACAGAGCGTGAAAAGCCACTTTCGTCGTTGAACTTCGATGAAAATGATGTTGCGGAAAATGAAGCAGCTAATCGCGTGTCGATGGACGATCTCGCAAAAAGCTCGTTTCCTTCGTGGAATCTGGAAAGGAACGTTGGTAAAAACGACCGATCGAGAAGTTACTCGGTCCGAAGGTCGCGTCTGTCGTGGAATTTCGTGAGAAACGACCAGAGGAACGATGATCGAAAGCCAGTAACAAGCCTCGACTCGGTGTCAAGTTCGGCTCCGTTATGGGACGTTGAAAGGAATCTCGAAAAAATATACACGATACAAGACGAAGACAACGGTGGTTCGAAGACAAATTACGCGACAAATATCGCTTTAACAAACGATTCCACAGATAAATCACTTTCGTTTCGAGATGTGGAAGAAAATGCGAGAAACGAGAACAAGAAAACTGAATCTGTGTATTTGATAGAAGAAGAAAATTCTACAAAAGATCCAAATAATTCGTCAAATTCGAAAAGTAATCAAAATTCAGCTGATCGTTCGAAAGAAAAGTCTTGGTCGAGTCGCGAGGAAAGTGATCATAGATCGGCAGATTACTCTGAGGAAAACGTACTTTCCCCATTAAATTCAAGGAAGGTCGGCCTGGCAAAAAATAAGCACGAGTCGATAGGGAATTCAATTACGATGAAAAACGAGAGTTATCGGATGGAAAACCCGCTTCAGCTGTCGGAGCCCCGAGCAGCCGGTAAGACGGAGCTCGTAGAAAATAACCGCGGAACGAGGATGGATCCAATTACAAAGAAGAGCGATTTCGCGTCGTTGAAAGATCCAAAGAGGCGATCGAATGACGACGATGATGAGGCGAATTATACGGCGTTTAGGAGCGGCGAGGCAGTTGGGAGCGGAGGCGAGCAGGATGAAACTCGATTTTCGAAGGATGACTCGGAGACCGGCGACGCGTTGAATGGCTCGGCGGTTGGTGAAAGGAGCGACGTTGAAGCGAATTTGTCGCGCCGAGTGAATGGGCAATCGATGAATGAAGTCGGGAAGAGTTTGGGGCGAAGTTACTACTCGGATACGGGCAACAGCCTCTCGCTAACCTTGCGCGGGCAAGAAAACGATGACGAAACCGAGGGATCGGCGAAAATGGAAATCGCTAGCTTCTCGCAATATTCACGCTCCACGGAGAACGAGCTGAGCCGCGTTAAGTCCGACGTCGAGAACTTGACGGAACCTCCGTCGAACGACAAGAGCGAAATTCTTTTTAAAACTACAAATAACAGAGATCCTCGTCACCGAAATGACGGATCAGTCTCGATGGAACCTGAATTCGATCGGAGGATCGAAGGGAAGGTAAACGTCGGATCCTCGAAGAGGATTCTCGGTGATTTCCATAATTCCGATCAGCTATACGACTGGGAGGAAGCAGACAGGCAGGAAGAATATAAACGAGACGAGGAATCGATCTCGGGAACGCAGCCCGTTCTTGCCGGAATGCTTTTTTTTCGTAAGGCTCACGGACCGATTCGATCTTCCGCAAAGACGGTCGAGCTGTTCAGAAGCGGCAGAGGTCGGGCAACGGATCGGTATCGCGGGAACATTCTTGAAAGAGGGACGAGATCTCGCGATCGATCGCCTCGGGCCATCGATCCTTCCGTTGATTTTCGTAAGGTCGACACTGCTCAAGGTCACGCCGAGACGTCCGGTGGACTCGAAATAACGGACTCACGAAATCGACTCGACGCGAGTGCTCGCGAAACCGATCCCGCTTCTTCTTTGCTTCGTGGAAACGAGAAATTGTTTGACGAAGAGACAACGAAGGTTGTCGATGAGTTGAACGAGATGCAAGAGTCGGGGAATACCTTCGATGAATTGAATTTATACGATGGGTTTGCAGATATTCGAACAAAATTGGACCTGGGAGGTGAGATGTTGCTCGACACGAATAACGTGCAAGAAACAAATAAGAATATCGTGAAGTTGTCTGCGTTCTTAAGTGAAGCGTTTAAAAATCGAGAAGTGAACAAAAAATTGAATTCGCGCGATGAGTTTCGGAATGTTGGAAAATTTTCGTCCAAAGTGGATTCGGTTAATGAGAGATCGTACAGTTTCTTGGAAATAAGAAAATTTGGGAACGACGAAAAATTCGAGACTAAACCGCAAAGTGTAAAATCACCTGATTCTTCGCTTGCGATGCGAAATTTGAAAGATGGGCCTAATGAACTGAATTCGCGTATTAATAAATTTGTAAAGAAATCGAAAGACCATTTAAAGGATTTATTTTTGTCGTTCTTTCGAAAGGCTGATGTCGATCGTGAGAAACAATCGGGTATTCGTCGAAAGAGGTATACGAATTACTATTCGCCACAGTCCGTCACCCCTATGGCATACGTGCACATCCAACCGGCGTATCCGGTACCGGCGGTACCACCTCCAAACCGGAAGTGTGTAAAGTGCATGGTTGTTTATAAGCCTTGCGCTTCGTCTCCTAGACAATCGCAATTTAATGTTCTTCCAACGTACAAGGAATTGGCTTCAAAATGGCGCGGACTTAAATACGGTGAGTAATGAAACGACAAGCGATGAATTTTTATTTTCTAGTACATTTGCAGCCAATTTATAATATATTACATACACTCGGAGAAATATATGTAATGAATATACATTATTATATTCATATTACTTTTACGAAATTTCAAATATATATATGTATAAATGTGTATAAATGTGAATATCTTGTTGTAGTAGAATTGAAATATTGCAAATAGAACAGTCATGCTAAAAACAACTATTATCAATTTTAATTACAATTGCTTTTATCAGGTAATTATAAGTATAGATACGATAAAGAAAAAATAGTGACATTTTACACAAGCATGTAATTTTCTTGTAATTTATGTACTCTATTAGTTTAATTTCTTAGTCTTCAGTTTCTTAATTCATTTAATTCACTTTAATTGTCAATAGAACGAAAAAGAAATATGATTAAAATAAAAATAAAAATTATTTGTAAATGTTAAATATAAAAGAAATCTTTCGATACCCCGTTTCAATTTTATGTTAAAAGCTTTTTTTAAGATGAGAATTTTTTTTATTAAAATGAGAGAAAAATTGATTAATTACAGTTAAAAAAAAGATAATTGAACCAATAACTTTACATATGTAATACTTGCAATTAACACAAAGGCAACAATTTCGCGCATTTAATTCCGTATATCACGCTTTAATTAAACGCACATACAAGTAGAAAAACTATACGATTCGCTAACCAAAATTACAGCTAAATCCAAGATGTAAAAACTTACAATTATAATTATCTAATTTATGAAATTGCCATTTCGACACTGACAATTTAACAAAATGGCAGAGTATATTAAAACATATCACATATCAGACTAATCATCTCTCAAAATCTCGAGTTCCTAAAATTTCGAAGAAAGAAACTAAAAGAAAACCTTTGCGACCGTGCTTAATTACGCTTTTTCCTACGTTCACGGGAGTCGCAAAAATTCGCTGAACGTATAAAATATTTGTTAGAATATATCCCCTGGCGTTGATTGCAATTTATTGCCGCACCGTTTATTCCTAGAAAAACCGTGTCGACGAAACATTGCTTCGGTTAATGAGCCGCGTTCGAGGCTCCTCAAGTTCGCCGCGGGGGTCGAAGGTCGAACCTTCGATCGACCTAACACGAGAGGCCGTGCTTCGTTCGACTTCCGTTTTCTCGTCTATCGTCCAAGGGCCATAAAATTCGCGGTTCGTTTCGCGACGTTTAACCTTTTGCAGCTGGTATAGTTCTTGGCTGACATTATTTGAACCAATTTCAGTCAATGCTGAATTAACTCTCTCTCATGATTTTCGAATCTTAATACAGGGTTCCTACTTTTTCCAGTAGATGAGTGAAAATAAGAAAAAGAAATGTCATGTAAACAAATGTTAAAAAATTCTTCGTTAAGGAATTACAACGAAAATTCGAAATAAGAGCTGACGACATTTATACCTACGTTAGTTCCATTTCAAAGTGTTAGTTATTTTAATAAATGCATACATACGTCCATCAAAAATTGAATTTATTATATTTTCCTTGATTAATAACTCTTGAAATTACAATAACACTTAGATAATCTTTAATAAAAAATCTAAAAAATTAATCGTAAAAAAATTTGATCTTTAAATTATTAAAAATTATTCTTATTGTGCTCAATTGTATAATATTTGTAGAATTGCAAGGAATTTTCAAATTTTGCTGGAATTTGCGATTTGAGAACTTAAAAGATTGTTTCTGTAATTTCTATAATCAAAACTAGAATTTTGACAAATTTTCTATCGCTAATATAAATAAAAACTGATGAGACTGAGCTTTTAATATCGAATATGTTTATGTTTAGTACATCTATACGCTTTAATACTTTTTAAATAATGCATCTAATGTACCTCTAATACACGCAATCTTAAATTATAAATTTATCTGTTGAAAAATCTAAAAGTTATATTCTCGAAGCAAGACTTGTTTATCAGTTCTTATCGGTGGCATTTCAATACCGCGAAGAAGTATGGTAACGATTATACCATGGGGTAAAGGGAACGAATAAGACGAGAGAAACGCAAGTGGAAAGAAAAGTTCCATGCAAGGTATTTGCGTAGGCACGTACCATTGAGGAACGGCGGAGAAACTAAAAATATCGACATATCAACGTGCCGGCAGATGTACGCGTGCATTTGCACGTAGAAAAGTGCGTGATGTTTGAGCAAAAGTGTGTTCGAGTAGGGATGGAATCGAGAGAATCGCGAGTGCTAGCAATATTCAGTGAAATTCATTATCTGGATAATTCCGAAACTAATTCTATTACTTTTAAATAAAATTTAAAGTATGTTGTGATCTATATTCGAAATATCTTATCTAACGTTTAAAAAAGTAATATAAAACTTCTTACTGATATCGAGAGAAAAAGTAAAATAATTTTACTTAATGAAAATAGTATTATTATTATTTTTTTATTAAATATTATTTATTAATATTTAATTATTATTATTTGAATAGAATTATTATTTTTTTATCAATAAAAAAATAATTACTATTTAAATAGTTATTATTTTTTATTAAATATTATTTATTAATATTTTTATTATTATTGTTTAAATAGAATTCAAAGTATGTTTTAAGAAAAGGTATACAATTTTTTACTAGTATTGTGTATTGAGGGAAAAAATTAAGAATAAAAGTAGTATTATTAATTGAAGTATTAAATAACAGAAATATTTTTCTATGTAATGTGTTCTAAAAAATTAGAGTGTTTCATTTTCTATGTAATTGTTTTTCAGATAATAACATATCAAGTATCATTAATTTATATTACACTGTATTATTACACATTGTTCTGATTAAAAAAAGAACTGTCTTTCTTTTTGAAAGATTTCTATACTATATGTGTGTAATATATTGTCGATTTCCTAGAACTCTATTGCGTTATCTGTTTTCAATTGTTATGAATTTGATAAAAAATAGGTCGTTTGATATGAAGTTCATTGTATTAGAAATCTAAATTATCTAATTTAATTATAGCTATAGTATAAAATAACTATTTATATATACAAGTATAATGAATAGATGAATTAATTAATAATTTTAAAACTAAAAAAGTATTCAATATTTTAAATTTTCTTTAATTATAATCCATTAATCGTCTAAATAATTTAAGTATCTAGTCATATTTTATAATGATCTACAAAAACGCTCAAATGTTTGCAATTTTTAATTTGTACAAATGTATTTTTAACTTAACATACGTACTTAGACTTTATTATTTAACAGAATACGATATGTATAATAAGAGACAAGTTCATAGATAGCATACATCATTAGTGGATTTCAAAAACATTATCAAATTTAAGTATTATTCATGAATTCATAATAAAAGCCTCTTTCTATATATTATCTTAAATCATAAATCTGCTGATTTTCGACAGTCCAAACCAACTGACATCATCAATTTATATTATCTGGAAACGATAATAAGCGCTCTGTGAAAAATAATCGCATTACAATTGATAACTTTGCTTTTTTTTAGTGTATACATATAATATTCTATGAAATATATAATATCTTGGAAATATATAATATCTAATATATAATAATTTGAAAAGAAGGATATTAATGCGTTAGTTTTATTTAAAAAAATATTTTCTTCCAATTTTGGGAAATACTATGTGTGATTAATCATTGTTCATTAATTAATTGATATTTAAGAATTTAATATTTAATAGTATAAATAATAATTTAACTATCAAATCAGTGTTCTGTAAGATAAATATTTTCAGTGTAGATCGAACACTTAATTTTTGTTTTAATGTGAATTACATTTCTGTAATTTCTTCAAGAGTCATTTTCTTCAATAAATATTCATATTTCTATAATTTTTTTTAAATATTAAAATAATTAAAATTTTACATTTAAAATTTTAGTTTATACATTTATATCTGTGAACATAACGTGTAAATCAAAAACATCTAAGCAATGAATTTATTCAATCATTTGTGCGAGTATGAACTTGACTCCATTACTATGAATGAACGATGAATCAATATCTCAGAATGTTTATTCTATTCAGAAAACGAACACAATATTTTCAAACGATGCGAATCAGAGTTTTGCATGAATTTTTGAATGAAAAGATATCTACAGCATAACGATTTTACGTATGTACGTAATTGTTATGTATTCATAATTACCAGTTAATCGTATTTTGAAACCATTGAATCTCACGCAATTTTGATATTATTTTGAACTAATATTCAGTTTAGTTCAAGTATTCTCAAATATTTGGAATACTTATGAAAATAAAGTAACAAATATTAGTATTAAATTTTACTGCATGTTTGTTGTAAACTTTTGTACCAAATAACTGGTATAAAATTGTAATTTATTTATTTCCAGTCGAATAAGTTAAATATTATACATAAAAGTTAGAATACTACTTTTCAAAAAATTTCTTATCTTTTTCAAAAAAGATTGTAGGACATTTTAATATTAATTTCGTGCAATTCTTTGAAAAATACATTCCACACATGATTCTATCCATTCTCTTATTGATATTATGGATTGAAGAAACTGAACAGACATATTTAATTAATATGATTTTATAATATAAATTGAAAAAAAAATACTGAATATTTAAAAAGTGTGACACTTTGGAGCTTGAATATCAAATTTTTTCAACTTTCTTTTTATTTCATGAACTAAAAAATAATTTTTATGTATTTTATAAAATAATACTGACTTATGCTATAATAACATATGTATCAAATTAAGTAATTAGAACTTCAGATATCGTATAAACCGTTTAAAAATGCACATCATTCTGAGTTCTGAGTTCTAACAATTGTATATCATTTTGTTTAAAATTCTATAACTTTATTATTTTCACGAATTCGGAAATACTTAATCGTTTAAACTGCAAATTCTTACATTATTAGCGATTTTAACGAAATTTAAAACGATTATATATATATATATATATATATAATATATTTTTTTTCAATACTTCTAAATATCAAATAAAT